AAATTATATACGTGCTTCAAGAAGTAGAATCTTTTCCTTTCACTATCAGAACAATCCAAAATTATTAGTGTGTATTTTCTTCCACAGTATCTCAGATTAACTGAGAAACTAAAAGGTTTGTGATGATGTCGGGATTGTAATAGGTCCAAGAGTTTTGTAGTCCTTGAGCCTCTCTCTCTTTAGTCTCCCTTCAGGATTAGCAGTTCTTGTGATGGTACTGGAAGGAGAAATTTCTTAGCCATCTGTCCTGAGTTACATTAGAGGAACTGACTGTTTCTTAAGAGAACTAGACAAGTTACCTAACTTAGGTGCCTCCTTTATTCCCTCTTTAAAAGTGATGTGAATGATCCTTAGTTTCCTTAAAACAGTGAACTTCTCCTTGTCTTGGCCATTTTAGCAGCAGCATATTTAGCATTGTTTGAATGTTTTGTCTGAGTCTTGTAATAAAAATGCCTGTATGATCCTTATAATAAAAAGTAATAAAAAGATTTGGCTAAGATAATTACATTGTAAAATCCAAAACAATTTTTTTTTTTGAGACAGAGTCTCACTTTGTCACCCTTCATAGAGTGCTGTGGCATGATAGCTCATAGCAACCTCAAATTCCTGAGTTGAAATGATTTTTTTTTTTTTTTTTTTTTTTGAGAGTCTTACTTTGTCACCCTAGGTAGAGTGCCATGGCCTCATAACTCATAGCAATCTCAAACTCTTGGGCTCAAGCGATTTTCTTGTCTCAGCCTCCCGAGTAGCTGGGACTATAGGCACCAGCCACAATGCCTGGCTACTTTTTAGAGACAGGGTATTGCTCTAGCTTAGGCTGATCTCAAACCTGTGAGTTCAGGCAATCCACCCTTCCTGGCTCCCCAGAGTGCTGGGATTGCAGGTGTGAGCCACTGCGCCTGGCCTAAAATCCAAAACATTAAGATCCCTTATAGTTGTGGCTTTAGGAGTTTTAGTAAATAGTAATACATCATATAGGCAAAATGTATATTGTTTACATCTTCCAGAGTACATATACATACCATAAATGCCTACTGTGACATAGGTTATAGTATAGGTGTTTGTCCTGTTTCCTGACCCTTGTGTTTTAGACAACTTTATCTGGCTTTGTATTTCACTGAATATCTTTGTTTTTGCTTAAAGTTGTCTCCTAAGTACATGTCATGGTAGTCTATTGAGTCTGCATGTTATTTGGGAAATGGAACATAGAAAACCCCCAAAGTTATTCCCTTCCTTTTTTTTTTTTTTTTTCAGTTTGGTCAAGGGCAAGTTCAAACCCACCACCCTTGGTGTATGGGGCCGGCCCTACTCACTGAGCCATAGGCGCCACCCCCATTTCCCTTTTAATATTATTTCTTGTGGGTTTTTTTACGGTTATTAAAAGATAGGATTTTGTGCTGTAAGCTGTAGAGCCTCCCTAAGTCATTTGTATAAACCAAAGGGTTTAAATCAGTAACTCCCAAACTATTTGGCATTTTGGTACCTGTTTTAATGTGCTTTCTAATTCTGAATAAACACTATTTCTTACTAAATAGAATGGTGAGGTTTTATGTAGTATTTGATTTTGGAATAGCATGAGATAAATGAAAATAAATTTTCATTAGTATATCTTAGATGTGGTCTTTAGAAGCTGGCTTCATTGATAACAAAAGCACATGCATCTCGTTATGCATTCTTACATTACTTAATCACCATGTTCCTTTTCATTCTCACAAGTGGCTAAAACAAGAAAATTACAGACTATAAACAGGGTCTAGGGAGAAAAACTGACATAAACATACCCAAGTGACAGCCGTTTCAAAAGGAAGTTTTTTTTACCTTGTTTCCTAGAGTAGGACAAGAAAGTTTTGTACATTGTTTTAGAAAATGTTCATGTATTCTAAGTAAGCAAGTGAAATAGAATGAACAAAATGAAAGGTTTTCAAACCCACCTTTGCCAACCCCTCATCTCTTAGGACCCAGAGTTCAACAATACAGATCAGATTGATCTGTATGATGATGTGTTGACGGCCACCTCACAGCCTTCAGATGACAGAAGCAGCAGCACTGAGCCACCTCCTCCTGTTCGCCAGGAGCCATCTCCCAAGCCCAACAACAAGACTCCTGCAATTCTGTATACCTACAGTGGCCTGCGTAATAGGCGAGCTGCCGTCTATGTGGGCAGTTTCTCGTGGGTGAGCATGGGTAACCAATGTGGGTGGGCTGGAGGGAGAGCACTGGGAGGTGATGGCATTTTCAGATACTACTGTTGCACTGTTTTGTGCTCTGATGGGGTTGGATTTCTTTTTCCTGGGATCAGGTTGGATTGATCTCTGAAAGAGAACTATCCTGAGGACGTACTGGTGCCGAAGAAAGCAATGATTAAGTGGGTAGTTGCTTTTTCTGCCATCTTGTTACTGCCCCTGACCCTGGGGCTTTATGTCTAGCAGGGTCATCTGTGGGACGAGATTTCAGAGTGAACACCTTGAACTCTTGGTGGTCATTAGATGGTCCTGTGATAATGGTGGGTGATGGGGATCAAAGACCTTGATAGCTCTAGGACACTTGGGGTAGGTGGTGACTGTTCTTCTGCAAAAGTTATTATGTGACGTTTTTGGGCTGTTGGTGGGGGGTGGTTTTTCCAAATTAGGAAATGTATATACTGAGGGGACTGTTCCTGGCAATGGTCGAGTCTAGCCTATCAGATCTATAATTAAGAGCTGTTTGCAATCAGTGTTTGAAGTGATGACCAGCCAGCCCAAATGGCAGTTAAAGTTAAAATAGGTTTTAATCTTCTTAATCACTAAAGATGGGGGTGGAGGGTTGGCATTCTTTATGGGTGTATGGGTGAGGACAATAAAAAAGTCTGTACTAATTGAGATATTGCTGGGCTTTTGAGTTTCCTGTTGGGAGGTCATAGTTGACTAGAATCCTGGGTTTGGGAGCCAGGTTTGGAACGGTCAGGGCAGGGGCAGGGGAGGGTTGTGGCTCTTGACATTTCTTCCTTTTCCATCTTGCCGGCCCCAGTGGACCACAGACCAGCAGCTGATCCAGGTTATTCGCTCTATAGGAGTCTATGATGTGGTGGAGTTGAAATTTGCAGAGAATCGAGCAAATGGCCAGTCCAAAGGGTGAGGTCTGGATATGAGAAGCCCTTTTTATTTTGTAAACATTGGAATAACAGATCCGCGTTGTATTTTGGCCCTGAATTTTAATCACTCCCACCCCTAGCCCAGCTTACTGCCTGGTTTTGGCAAACTACATTAGAGTGGAACCTAGCACAGTGTAGTAGATCATCTGTCTGCTGAGGATAGATCAGCAAAGAACATTGATTTTTAATTCCCCCAAAATAGGAAGATTACAGGCTGATACCTTTTGTTGCTCATAGTTGTGTGTGTGTGTGTGTGTGTGCGTGTGTGTGTGTGTGTGTTTTATTTACCAGGATTTCTTTGTTCCTCTTTTGGTTGCCTAGTAGATTGTACTCATTTAAAATTTTTCTTCCTCAGGTATGCTGAGGTGGTGGTAGCCTCTGAAAACTCTGTCCACAAATTGTTGGAACTTCTACCAGGAAAAGTTCTTAATGGAGAAAAAGTGGACGTGAGGCCGGCCACCCGACAGAACCTATCACAGTTTGAGGCACAGGCTCGGAAACGTGAGTGCGTCCGAGTCCCAAGAGGGGGTAGGTGGAGACCATCTGTATGGGGCGGAGGGGGTGGGAGTCGTGGGTTTGTTTCTGTGGTGTAGGCTCAGCCTACAATGTGGAGGAGTTTGAGGGAGTGTTATGGTGGTTATGGGTGGTGGCATGGTCAGTGGTAGGTAGTCCATAAAACGAAGTTTGCATTGAAGAAAGCCCTGTGCTGGGAGTCAAGAAGGTTCAGATTATAGTTTGGTTCTGTCATTAACTCATTGAGTGACCTTGGGCAAGTCACTTTACTGCTTAGGGCCTTTTTCCTCATCTGAACTAGATACATGATGTTTAAAATTCTGGTCAACTCTACATTCTGTGTTTTGTCCAAAAATAGGAATACAGTGAATGTGCTTAATTTTAAGACATCCCTCTGTAGATTATCAAAAAGCAGCCACCCTCAGATGTATAAAGGTAGCTGTAATCTTGTCATAAGTGTACATTGAATGGGTGCTTTATAAGGAACCAACCAAAAGGACTGTTAGAGAATACGAATTTAACAGTATTTCTCCAGCTTTGTCCAGGGGAGAAAGTGTTCATTTGGTTACCGACTGTTTCAATCTGTTTGGCAGGTAGATCCCATTAATAAAGAAAATTGCATCATACTACCTTAGCTTGATGACAGTGTCATTTAGGTTCATCTTACTCCCTTTTTTCTGACTCTACTCACCAAGCCACCTTCTGATACCACTTTGGTTTCCCAACTAGGCTCTCTTACTGGGAAGAGAATGCACTGACGAGCTGACACAAGTATTCCAGTCTGCTTGGCAGTTATATTTCTCATTGTAAAATAATAAATTGGCATTTCTGGTTTATGAATCAGTCTCTTGTGAGTTTGGTTAGCATGAATTAGTTTCCTAAAGTCCAGTTACCCCTGGGTGAACTGTTAAAATCAAGTTTCTGAATCTTAAGAACCAGACCTTGAATTGTCTTGACTCACAACATGCAGCCATCCTGTGAGGCCTTGCCTGACCCAGCCACCTGCCTTTACTACAGTGGGAGGAAAAGATTGATCACCCACGTTCTGTTGCTGCGGAGGTCCAGCTCTCAAAATAGTACTTTGTGTTGACTGGGTTTATGTGTCCTTCAGGTGGAAATATGGCCACTTCTCTCTTGTGTAGAATGGCTGTTCTTTTAACTAGATTGAGAGCCTAGATGAACTTGGTGTGAGCTCTTGTTACTCTGGGTTAGAAGGCTCACACTTTGTTCTGAGAGACAGCTTTTCAAGTCCTTTCTGCTTTAGAGTCCTTTCTGCAATTCAGCCCATTTCTGACTTTCCTAAGGTGCATAATTTTACAGCTACCTTGGAGATAATATTCCTACCTGTACTCAGCTGTTAACGTCTCATTTTTTCTCTGATGAAAAGGTTGTGGTGGCTGAGTGTTGTTTTTCTGTTCCATCACATTGATGGAATTGGGCTCTGTTAATTCACTGAGTAAGATTGGTGGACTTCCTCTGTTTAAAAATGGTTGCCGGCTCGGCGCCTATAGCTCAACCGGCTAAGGTGCCAGCCACGTACACCTAAGGTGGCGGGTTCGAATCCCCAGCCCGGACC